GAGTATACTTCGTCTTCAGTAATGTGTAGCTAACAGAAGTTTAGGGTTTAGCACATAGCTATATACACACTGATTCATTGACAAACCAGAGGATAATTATTCAGAAGAGAGGTTGTGTATAATATTATAGTCTATGTGATGTGAGGCCCAAGACCCCTTTGACCTGCAAGGTGAAAATGTGTACCTAACTAGACAACGTAGCTAGGTTGTAAACACCGCCTCGGGGATCCTTATTAACGATTAGGCTTCACTTGTTACTAGGGTAAACCTAGTCTCGGCCCCTGCCCCTTTCCTCTAATTTTGCGGGGGAGGGATGAAAGGGTCTGGGGACACCGCTTAGTTGCGCACAAATTTCAAACGTTTACGTTTAGTAGTTTGCTCTAAGTGGATGCTACTATTAATTGCTGAATTCAAGGAAGCCAATAGGTGATGGGACTTCCCCTGCAGATAAGACACCTGAGCACATCAGTCACATAAAATTATAGCATCATAACTTTTTTATATACAACATTTTTGCAATGCAATTGCACAGGATACACACAGTATATAGCTCTATAGCTAACAATGGTGGTGCACCCAGAGACAAGACAAAAAACAAAAGTAGAGACAAAACTAAAATAAATAAGACTTTAGATGATATTCGAATGACTGAGTTGTGTCCCTCCACCGAATCTCTGGGTACAATGAAAAGCACTAAAGTGCAAACCTTCGGCGAACTGCGCATGCGCGGTAGCACTAATTGATGGGCTGGGCTTTATCCCGCTAGTAGCTCGCGGAGTGTCTGACACGGGCTTGGTATATATAGTAGTAGACTATGATAGCATGAGGGAGTCGATACATGCCCTTCGTTGTGACTTCTTGTGCCTGCAAGATACACAGAGCGAGCGGACGCGGTCGAGGTAAGCCTGTACTAATTTGCATATTGGCTTGTTCACTTGCTTTTCACGCCATAAGGCGGCTTATGAGCGATACCAACAGCTTTAGCGGTACATGGGCTAGAAAATTTTGCTGAAACGACTGCGTTCGAGGGCAACAAACTGGCACAGTCGCGGACAGCGTTGCGTGGCCCAACCATTAATAAGCGGTGCGCGTGCGCGTATTAGACGCACCTCGATCTGATCCGCTTGCTCTGTGTATATACCTTGGAGGCACAAGAAGCCACAGCGAAGGGTGTGTATCGACTACCGCATGCTATCTACTACTGTAGCTTGCCCGTGTCAGACTCTCTGCGCGGGAGACCGCGAGTAAACGCCAATAGCCCAGCCCAGCCATTAGCGGTACCACGCATGCGCAGTTCGCCGAGGGTTTGCACCTTAGTGCTTTGCATCCTCAACATTTGTTGCCTCCACAACAAACAATGTATATACATTAAAGTGGGATTTTACTGCCTATGTACTAGTAGTGTTTACTACTGCGTCTGTGTAGTTCATGCATGCCTATGCCTATAAGTAAAATATCAGGGGGGAAAGAGATGGAAACGAAAAATTCCTCACTTGTAGCTAGTCATGCGTAGCCACATTTCATGTCTGTATGAGTGCCCTTAGCTGTGGATTAACAACAATTTCGAAAAATATCTCACCCACATTCATGTTAACCAAGGAGCTCTGGACAAACAAGCTCCAGATACTTTTACTTTCTATATATCTGTTGTTGCTAACAAACACATTGTATGTAGCTTCCTCAGTGTGGATTCAGAAGCATTAACTGTGGATAATTAGTCTAACCTAGCCAATTTAGTGGCCCAACGTTGTTTTATCAGGGATGCCATGTGATATGAAACAAGGGTAGCCCCTGTGAAGGGTACTCCTATTTTCCAATGATGTGGCATTTACACCTCCCCTCATATTATTCTTTTAACCTGAGCTATCACTAGTAACTGTTATTGTAGAGGTGAGTATGTGTTCCTTCTCCATGCTTCCCTTTTTCCCACTTCCACGTTCTATTTTTGACTTATATGCTTGTGTACGTCATTAGTAGTTTCTGTTTCCTATGGTCTGCCAAGACCCACAGTAAACTGAAGCAAACTGCAAAGCCAAAGAGTAGCAGAACACTGATAGGTACTACTGCAGGTATTTTATGCATATCTATATAGCTCCGTTCGTGCAGCGATATGGTCTCTGCTTTAAACTGAGTAACCGATATGCATATCTCACAGGGCAACTGCCTTCTCCCACTCACTTTCTGGGAGTGGGAGAGATAAACAGCTCTTACTTTGCTGGACTCCTGTAAACATGGCTACAAGTGAGGAATTTTGCATGAAACCGTCGTTAGGGGGTGTAGCTACTGCACTCTTGCATGAAAAATGTGGCAAACGTGCGATAGCTACCAGTGATATATTTCTCAAAATTTATGTTAAATACTAGCTACTCTGGATAAAGCTGGACATGTATATACCACACAGAAGAATAGTAGTCAGGCACACTCACAAGTGAAAAATATGAAGAGGGTGAATAGATGTCCCATCATGCAGAGAAAAACGCCACCACACTTTATTGTTTCCATGATATTAAGAAGGGTTCTTGCTTCCTCCACAAATCTATTTCTAGTGGGACACTGAGGCCAAAACAGAGGCCAGAATGAGGTATATAAGGATGTAGGGGATGTCATGGCATTCAATGAAGAAAACAGGGGAGCATACTGACCAATTCATGTCATTAACTAAAGTGCAAAACCCTCGGCGGCGTGGAACCACGTATGTGGTTTGGGCTATATCGTTGTTCCACGCCGCCGAGTACTGTTGTGTCACACTGCGGACATACCTTCTTCAGGCGTCTATCGCTCTCCAACGGTCAGCCCCCTCTGCCTACAACGCGCGGAATGTACTGATTGCCAGCTCAAAATAGTATTTGCACCAGAAACGACAAGAAATATCCTCGAGCGCTGCCTTCACAAAAATGAAACCATGGCCGCTCAACGATGCTATTTTTACGGCGAAAAACACGTGATCATTGTGCGCAACCCGCCAGTGTAACACCCGCTTGCGTTTATTTCTCGCTTCCTAGAGGTAAGCGAATGCTAATTAGCAATTGGCTTGTTAACTTGGTTTTCACGCCATAACTGTCGAACGTATTGCTTTTACGAAAATCGCCACATTTAATAAGCCGGTATAGCGCTGAACCTTTTGGTATCGCTCTTTCGTTGTCTCGTTGCGCGTGGTTGCAGAAAACGTGGTAACAGACAGACAGACAGACAGACAAAAAACTGACGGACCAGGTACAGTTAACCCTCGCTGCGCATGCGCGCCGAGGGTATGAAAAGCACTAAAGTGCAAAACCCTCGGCGGCGTGGAACCACGTATGTGGTTTGGGCTATGTGTCCACGCCGCCGAGTGCTGTTGTGTCACACTGCGGACATCTTAATTAAGGCGTCTATCGCGCTCTCCATCGGTCAGCCCCCTCTGCCTACAACGCTCGTACCACCCGAGAAGGCTCCAGGCAGTGGTGCGCATGCGCAGAGCCCCCTCGCGCCCCATATCCATCGGGGACGGCACAGTATAAAAAGGGCGCGCATTCTCCTCGCCGTCATCGGCAAAACTGCTCACTGCAACTAAGGAAAAAGGATTTCTTCCTCGGCTAATAACCTGTTCATCCGACTATGAACGCAAGCTATTTCCTCGTGCTCCTGGCCCTGCTAATGCCTCTGGCCATGTGCCATCCCCAGCCCTCCCTGGATGAGGACAAGGAACAAGAGTATGGAGAGATGGCTCAGTCAGGTTTAATACTGCTCTCTTTTCTCTTGTTCATTTAGCTAACGTGCATGCACTATTGTGGCATGTTACTCAGATGATGGTGAGGAAGATGATTCAAATCTGGAAGGCATGCTGAGAATGATCCAGCAGAGGGGAGGAGATGAAGATGAGGATGGTGGAGAAAATGCACTGGTGATGCAGGACGAAGACGGGAATGATGAAGCTGGCATGCAAGCACGTAAGCATTAGTAAAGACTTTACAAAACCTTTCAGGCTTAGTTGAAGTGGAAGAGAATGTGTCGGTATGCCTAAGGGCTAAATAGGGAACTAAACTATAGAGCCCAATGCAAGAACACTCCCTGATATGTTTGAGTTAACTAAGAGATTTGTTTTCTCCTCACACAGAAAAACGCTGTGCGACCCACATCTACGTGATGGGATTCACGTCTGGATCGGGCAATTCCAATTCACGCAACCTACCCTACCTGTTTGTCGACCTCTACAACCACGAGGAGGGCTCCGCTCGGTTCCCCAACAACCCCGGCAAGGACATGCGCAAAAACAAGGGAGACTTCTGGAAGTTCAGTCTCAAGAAAGACCTCAAGCTGACAAAGTGCTGCATCACCAAGGCCGATATTAAGAAGATCGTCGTACGCAATGGAGGCAACGACGGATGGAAGATTGAGTCCATCTTCACCATCCTGCGTTCCGGGTCGTATTACACTGTCGTGACGGCCGATGTCGGACTCAACACAATCGTTGATGGGAATCCAAAGGGGAAGAAAGCCTTCCGCCAAATCTCACTCACCAAGACATACGACTCCTGAACACAACTGTAATGACGAACTGTAAACTCTTGCATTCACAATTTGGAGATGCATTAAATATATAGCAGCTAACTGTATAAACTTCATTGCATGCATATCAGCTGAAATGTAAACCATTGAAAGTGTGTCAGCAAAGACAAGATGCATGTGCAGAAGGAAACCGTTTAGCTGCATCAGTAGATATAAATCTTGACTGTATAATAATTATACACATATATACCTCGAGTATAACCTCGTGTGCTTACAGTGCACTAAACGGGCAAACTCATACATAGTGGTTTAACTCCCTTTCTTAGTGCATGCAGGTTAAAATATGCACAAAAAGGTTTTGTTTTCATGAAAGTCATCTCTACAGTATGGTTGGCTTATAATTATTATGATACAAAAAGACATCAAAGTGCTTCAGACGGCAGTTTTTCATTTGAACAGCTGAATTCGATCATTGTTCGTGTCACTAACATACACACGACCCTCAGGACTGACGGCAACGGCATATGGATCGTCAAACTCTCCATCATTCTTCCCCTTCTTGCCAAACGACCTGATGTACTTGCAGCACGATTGGACTAGTTCTCTACCACATACACCCAGTCGTCAGGTCCAACAGCCACACTGATCATGCAGCTTCTGGTCTGGCTCTGTATGAGCTATGGACGAGAGGTAACACCCACTAGCATCAAATATCTGAACTGTTGTTGAGATGGCCGGCTACAAGCACGCTTCCCTTTCTATTCCCTGAGGCATGTTGAATTCGCCAGCTTCGCGGCCCTTACTTCCAAAGCTGCCATAAAGAGACAGGTCGCTGTTGAGAATTGTGACACGATTGTTGACTGTGTCGCAGACGTAGACTCTGCTATTGGTTTCGCTGTGGGCTATAGCAAACGGAGTGTGGAAATGCAGCGGTCCACTGCCCTCTGAGCCCACAGACGCTATGAGCTCGCCATCCAGAGTGAATTTCTTTACACAATGGCAGGCTGCTACAAAGACGGTATTATCAGGTGAGATTGCTACTCCCAGTGCATCTCAACACCTTAGACAGAGACCACTAGCTAGGTTATCATCCCATGAACAAAGTAAACTATGGCCCGATATTGGTATCCCTCGTAAACGTATTGTTTTATGACATCTTCACAGGAGAGGGGTCCCAACAGATATTCACACCAGGTGGGGGCATGCGCAATCATTGCGTCTGCAGTCCGCACATGCGCATTCAATCTCTGCGCAGTATGGACTATGGAAGGATAGAAGAATGGAAGAATGGCAGGATGGAAGGATGGTAGTTCGTGTAGAACGGATATGGAATGGCCCTTCTTGGCTTCCATACGTATCCGCATTATGTTACAAGGAGCTCTTCCTTTCCTGCATTATTAACCCTCGGCGCGCATGCGCAGCGAGGGTTAGTAGTCTGTCATTACCCTCGGCGCGCTACTGTACAACTGTAGTTGGGTGGGTTTGTCTGTCTGTCTGTCTGTCTGTCTGTCTGTCTGCCTGCTACTCTCAATCTCACTTCTGGAGTGTTTGTTCGTCTCACAAACGATACGACCTTCCTAACGGGCGACGAAGGTAAGAAAATAAAGGCGGTTTTCTCGGAAAACGCTCCGTTGCAAAGCTACAGCGCTTCCACCATTGTACGGCTAATGTCGCTGCGGAAAACGCGCTGCGCTTATATTTTCAACAGACTCGACCGTTCTGTGTATCTTGAAGGCACAAGAAGTCACAACGAAGGGCGTGTCGCATGCCATCTACTACTGTAGCTAGTCCGTGTCAGACTCTCTGCGAGCTACTAGCGGGAGACCACGAGTAAACGCATACTAATACAGGTACCGCGCATGCCCAGTTCGCCGAGGGTTTGCACTTCATTACCCTCGGCGCGCATGCGCAGCGAGGGTACTGTAGTTGGGTTTGTCTGTCTGTCTGTCTGTCTGTCTGTTTGTCTACATCTCACCTCTCGAATGTCTGTTCGTCCCAGAAACGATACCATCTACCCAACGGGCGACGAAGGTCAGAAAATAAAGGCGGTTTTCTCTGAAAATGCTCCGTTGCAAAGCTAGAGCGCGAAAAAGCTAATATGCAAATACGCAACGGACGCCGGGATGGCTTACCGCGGTCGTGCTCTGCGTACTTCGGAGGCACCAGAAGATGCAACGCAGGGCGTGTATCGCCTCTCGCATGCTATCTAGTAGTGTAGTTAGCCCGCGTCAGACTCTGCGCGAGCTGGCAAGAGACAACGAGTAACAGCTAAAACTAAACCCAGCCCATCAATTAGTGGTACGGCGCATGCGTTTACTGACGCGTGCGCGTCACAGTGCGCCGAGGGTTTGCACTTCAGTGCTTTTCATTCTGTGTGTCTGTCTGTCTGTCCTCGCGAGTCCTCGCACTACAGGCTACAAGGCGGCCAATGAGTGGCACCAACGGGTTGTGAACAACGAGAAGATGGATATTAATGTGGCGATTTTCCTGAAACGACTGCGTTCCAGAGATATGGCGTGAAAAAAGCGTACGCGAGCGATCCATGGCGCACGCGCGTATGTTGCCGTAGCTATATAATATCGTTTGCCGGAGCATGCGCATCTGCTAGATTCTGCGTGGTTTTAGTTGACCTTGGACGAGCAAGAGTTTCTCTCCTCAGTCATTGTTGATCTCTGTTCTCGATGGACAACAAACTGAGCAAGGTATGTCCGCAATGTAGCACAGCAGTTCACGTTAGACGAGCAGTTTGTGGATGCGGCCATGCCTTCCCAACTAAGCCAGTCTGGCCCAAGCAATGAAGCGCAGTAGAATGCAAAAAGCGAATGTGAGAGCCTTTGAGTGTGGTATACATAGTCACTATGGAGTAGTGCTGTGTTTCTATGTATATCACTTGACCAATTTTATATTTAATTCGGTATTACCATCCCTCCTATACATGCTATCCATCAAATATCTCATACATGACAGGATTAAAGAAGAACTCTCATTTCTACGTTGAAGGATCCCTCTGAGCTATATATTATCTAAAGCACAGACACTCCATCCGTCATGTTCAATGCACAATAATGCTCCTCTCATAACTGAACTGTGTTACTGCATACTTGTCATTTGGTTACTCTGATAAGCACTAATGAACTCATAGCAGATACCCTTCATCCAATTTGTTCATCTTATATTCAATTTTGTAGTTACAGTGGAACCTCATTAATACAAATACTGTTAAGCAAAATAACTGTTTGATACGAATCACTTTGAAATAGCCCACCTAGCTTACAAAACCACAAACGTGCGCATTTTGAGCCGAGGGTTTGCACTTTAGTGCTTTTCATTTATTTATTTATTATTTGAGCTTCACAGTACATGAAGAAAAGGACAAGAAACCAAAAAAGGACAGGCATACAGACTTTTTACATGTACTACTGACGGAACACCAACAAAGTGTTGATGACCTAGGTGGTAGAGTAATTAGTTGCTATTGGTGAGCTAACACACACAGAACATGGGCAAATAATAGTGAAATGTACATGGAGTCGTACTCAGAAAATGAGATTCAAAATGTGACCAAAATACTTCAAGAGTTTGATTCCGAATGGAATGAATAGAATGATCAAGGTTAATAGGTGGGAGAGAGTTCCAGAGCCGTGGAATTCTGTTGAAATACAAGTGACGTGTAACGTTGGATTTACAGAGGGAGTGTATCAGCTTCAGGTTCCACTTTTGGCCCCATATGGAGACAAGCGAAGGACGTCATTTTGGAGTAAAAGACAGTCAGATGGAGTGGAAACTTTCTCTAGACACTTGGCATCATCAGCAAATACAAATATATGAGAGCATCGGATAGAGGATGGAATATCGTTGATGAATATTAAGAACAATAGAGGACCCAAAATACTTCCTTGCGGTATATATAATATACTCCTGAGATAACTGGAAGGTGGTCAGAAATTCAGCGATTGAGTGTAACGTAGTATTAATTCAGTTACTAGTACCATAGGGCAGTGTTGAGTGAGCAGGACTATATCTAGTTTCTTTATGAACGAGGAAAGAGAGGGCCATCTGAGTCCTATCACAGCCTATCCACATTGTGTGACAAGGAAACACTTAGTATCAATTCAATTATGTGTGGTGTGCATTCTTTCATCCTTAACCCACGCTTATATATAGCTACTCCATTTCCGCATTAGATGGTAAAGAGAACTACTATGTAGCTCATCTCCCTACTCTGACATCTAGTGTTACATCAGCTCGCTCTGCGACTCAACGCATTTGGCATGAGCTTCTTCCGGTGGAACACCCCAGTCTATTAGGCCTCCAGGGACACTTGCTATTGGTATATATATAGGAGGAAAGGGGTATGTACAGGAGATCCATCGCTATGACCAGGTGACTAGTCAATGGATCATGGTGTGTGGACAATAACCAGTTGGAATGGAGGCTCCGTGCTGTACTGTTCTACCATCTATATTATTATAGCGACCTGATGGTAGTTGGAGGAATGGGTGGAGACACAGTCATACTCCAAGAGAACTTGGATAGAGAACGTTCAGAATTTCATTTGCTACCTTTTATTGTGTTTTGTCACATGAGCAGATGAAGTGAGTGTCTTTGTTGAGTGTTTTTGTGCGCATCCAAAGAGAGAGAGAGAGAGAGAGAGAGAGAGACAGAGACCTAAGAACTTGACCAGGTTGAAGGTGGAGCCCCAAGAACCTTTTCTGGTGACAACAAAACTGAACTGCCAACTAAACTGCCTCCATAACGGAGACAGGTAATCTAGAATAAAGTTTGGCAAGTCTGGCTATGTCTCTCTTTTTAAGTGAGAATTTACCAATGCTGTGCATGTGGTTGACATGGAGATACGTTTGTGTCCGTAAGCACTCTGTATTACAACCTCAGCTACTATGACGGCACTATATTATATAGACTGCTCCACTAAGGTCCATACTGTCGATCCAATGTATTGTCGCGCTGTGAATTCCCGTATGTACAAAGAAGCTTAATTGTTCAGGTTCCCCAATTCATTGACATAATCCCCTATTATATTAGGCACACACATTATAAATGTGGAGTATAATAACCACTGTAAGCATAATATATCCTGCACAGCAGTATTTGTGACACGCGTACATTGTCCAGAAAAAACCATCAACCAATAACACCCTCCTGTAGCTTTGCGAAGTTGATGAAAACCTGCAGTCCAGAATGACAAACAAAGCTACCACATGTTTGACATGCAGTGTCTGACCTGATCAAGGGTGGTCTGAC